TAAGACCATGCTTTATATGTGGTGGTAAACATCTTAAAAGGAATTGTAACATTAAAAATCTAATTTGTTACAAATGCGGGAGTAAGAATCACATAAGGAGAATATGTAAAACAGGGCAAGTAAAGAAACAACACCTTAGTAGTGACAGTGTTGAGAATGGTGCGACCATCAATAATAAGTCAAAGGAATACGGTAGTAACGCTGTCGATAATGCTGCAGATAGCTATAGTGGGCGAAACAAGTGGAAAGTTGAAGGTAACAATGGAAGTCTTTAAAAAACACGCCAACCAACTAAAGCATAAAAAAACTTCTTGAAGACAAGGACAGTAGTTCAATCTCAGCAAAATGGAAGGTGAAGTGTTTGTGCTTTTTGTCTGTATCAAATTCACAACATTTATTGCCATCTGTTATAAATAACCAGATTTTTTTGTTATCAGTTAGTTTTTACATGATTTAAGTCAAGTTTCGTTTTACTACATGTTGTACTTTTTAATTGTATAGTGAATATACGTTACTCATTTGGATCATCCTAATGGGACGATGACGAAGTTGGACAACGATAAACGTGAACAGCGATGAAAACAGACAACGATAAATCTGGACACATTCAAATGTGTCCAAGTTTAACATACAGGCAAACGACGAACCCGGACACTCCTATTTCTTAAACAGACTGTACACCAGGCTAAATGAAATTCTCAGTCTCACTCGGTTGTCTTTGTAAGGTTCCAAATGAGATTCCTAAAACAGAAATGCCGTGAATACGCCTTATTGTAACAAGGCTATATACTGTGTTGTGACTCACAGTTCAGCGAAAAACATTGCACATTATAAATTCAGGATTTTAATTGCATGCTTATTAGGTTGGTGTAAAGTTTTGCTCAATATTATAATAATATCTATGTATCGTGTATAGCGGAGTAGGAGAAAAGTTGTCCGCTGGAGTATGTGTGTGTGTGTGTGTGTGTGTGTGTGTGTTCGCACCTAAAACTCAAGAACCGTTGCACTTATAGCGTTCAAATTTTGCACAAATAGCTATGACACCAGTGTAAAGACACCATTAAAATTCTAGACGATTCCACTCAGTAGTAATAATAAAATACTTAAAAAACATTTTTAAATTCGTCCCATAAGAATAACATTAGGAGCTACCTTCTTCTTCTTTTTATTTGTTTACGTTTTGCGACCAACAATTTTGTTGTCTACTTAAGACAGAGAGAACGACTTTTACTCTAAGCTCTTTCATTCAAGGAGTAAACAGTTTGGCGTCTATGAATATATATCATTATAATTTCACAGCTTTCAGAATAATGTTATTTAAGCTAATTAAATTTCACAACTTTTAGAATAATAAATTGAACTTAACAATATTAGTCGGCAGTTATATACCGTTTATTTTCAGTATTAAAATTCACCTTTAAATTAAAAGTAATAGGTATGTATGTATTTAGAACAAAGCAGCTTTTTACATTATTCAATTTAATGTTGGCATTAAATATTAAATATTCAAAGATGTTGGTATATTTTTATACTAAAATGCTATGCGAAGGGGGGGGGGGAAAGGTCCCCGACGTAGAGAGTGGTAAAGGAAGCGGAAAGGTGAGCAGTGAAAAGAAAGGAGTACGGAAACCCTTTATGACTGTTAAATTAACGTATCTGTAATACTTAAATGCTATGGAAAAATAGAGAAACAGGACTACGATGTACGAAGTAGTGAAGGTAATAGTGAAGGAAGTAGTCAATGCGAGCGCTGCGGAGTGTGGGGGGGCCTTTATGACAGTTGGAATAATGTATCTGCAATTCTAAAAATGCTATGGGAAGGGAGAGAAACAGGTCCACGATGTAGGAAGTGGTGAAGGAAGTAGTCAAGGTGAGCAGTCCGGAGTGTGGGAAGCCTTTGTGACAATTAGAATAATGTATCTGCAATTCTAAAAATGCTATGGGAAGGGAGGGAAACAGGTCCACAACACTTAGGAAGTGGTGAAGGAAGTAGTCGAGGCGAGCAGTCCGGAGTGTGGGAACCCTTTGTGGCAGTTAGATTAATGTATCTGCCATAATAAAATGCTATAGGAAGGGAGGGAAGCAGGTCCACGACGTAGGAAGCGGTAAAGAAAGTAGTCAAGGCGAGCAGTCCGGAGTGTAGAAACCCTTTGTGACAGTTAGATAAATATACCTGCAATACTAAAATGATATAGGAAGGGAGGGAAACAGGTCCACGACGTAGGAAGTGGTAATGGAAGTAGTCGAGGCGAGCATTCTGGAGTGTAGAAACCCTTTTCGACAGTTAGATTAGTGTAACTGCAATTCTAAAATGCTATGGGAAGGGAGGGAAACAGGTCCACGACGTAGGAAGTGGTGATGGAAGTAGTCTAGGCGAGCAGTCCGGAGTGTAGAAACCCTTTGTGACAGTTAGATTAATATACCTTCAATACTAAAATGCTATAGGAAGGGAGGGAAACAGGTCCACGAGGTAGGAAGTGGTGAAGGATGTAGTCAAGGTGAGCAGTCCGGAGTGTGGGAACCCTTTGTGAAAGTTAAATTAATCTATTTGAAATTCTAAAATGCTATAGGAAGGGAGGGAAACAGGTCCACGACGTAGGAAGCGGTGAAGGATGTAGTCAAGGTGAACAGTCCGGAGTGTGGGAACCCTTTGTGAAAGTTAAATTAATCTATTCGAAATTCTAAAATGCTATAGGAAGGGAGGGAAACAGGTCTACGACGTAGGAAGAAGTGAAGGAAGTAGTCGAGGCGAGCATTCCGGAGTGTAGAAACCCTTTGTGATAATTAGAATAATGTACAGTATCGAGCATGAGGCGAGCAGTGCGGAGTGAGGGAACCGTTGGTGGCAGTTAGATAAATGCATCTGCAATTCTAAAAATGCTATGGGAAGGGAGGGAAACAGGTCCACGACGTAGGAAGTGGTGAAGGGAGTAGTCGAGGCGAGCAGTCCGGAGTGTGGGAACCCTTTGTGGCAGTTAGATTAATGTATCTGCCATAATAAAATGCTATAGGAAGGGAGGGAAGCAGGTCCACGACGTAGGAAGCGGTAAAGAAAGTAGTCAAGGCGAGCAGTCCGGAGTGTAGAAACCCTTTGTGACAGTTAGATAAATATACCTGCAATACTAAAATGATATAGGAAGGGAGGGAAACAGGTCCACGACGTAGGAAGTGGTAATGGAAGTAGTCGAGGCGAGCATTCTGGAGTGTAGAAACCCTTTTCGACAGTTAGATTAGTGTAACTGCAATTCTAAAATGCTATGGGAAGGGAGGGAAACAGGTCCACGACGTAGGAAGTGGTGATGGAAGTAGTCTAGGCGAGCAGTCCGGAGTGTAGAAACCCTTTGTGACAGTTAGATTAATATACCTTCAATACTAAAATGCTATAGGAAGGGAGGGAAACAGGTCCACGAGGTAGGAAGTGGTGAAGGATGTAGTCAAGGTGAGCAGTCCGGAGTGTGGGAACCCTTTGTGAAAGTTAAATTAATCTATTTGAAATTCTAAAATGCTATAGGAAGGGAGGGAAACAGGTCCACGACGTAGGAAGCGGTGAAGGATGTAGTCAAGGTGAACAGTCCGGAGTGTGGGAACCCTTTGTGAAAGTTAAATTAATCTATTCGAAATTCTAAAATGCTATAGGAAGGGAGGGAAACAGGTCTACGACGTAGGAAGAAGTGAAGGAAGTAGTCGAGGCGAGCATTCCGGAGTGTAGAAACCCTTTGTGATAATTAGAATAATGTACAGTATCGAGCATGAGGCGAGCAGTGCGGAGTGAGGGAACCGTTGGTGGCAGTTAGATAAATGCATCTGCAATTCTAAAAATGCTATGGGAAGGGAGGGAAACAGGTCCACGACGTAGGAAGTGGTGAAGGGAGTAGTCGAGGCGAGGAGTCCGGAGTGTGGGAACCCTTTGTGACAGTTAGATTAATGTATCTGCAATAATAAAATGCTATGAGAAGAGAGGGAAACAGCTCCACGACGTAGGAAGTGGTGAAGGAAGTAGTCAAGGTGAACAGTTCAGAGTGTGGGAACTCTTTGTGACAGTTAGATTAATGTATCTGCAATAATAAAATGCTATGAGAAGAGAGGGAAACAGGAAATACATTACGTATATTACCAATGACTTTGGTTAATTAATGGACGAGAAGTTAGGATTGTTGTTGACTGAGATTTGGTTTTTTTTTAACAGGTTGGCAGCCTCTTTTAACCTTGCATTTGCCCGTCCACATAGACTAAGCGCCCGTGCGTGGATCGTTTACAGCAAAGCAAGGGGTGAGCCGGTACGGTACAAAGGTGAACTGTACTGATAAAATTTAGTGGCAGTGACCAGGATCCGAACCCACGACATTGCTGCCTTGGGCCCGAAGTCCGCGTGACGCTACCGACTGAGCCACCGACTCACCATTATTTGCCCCGACTCATGGGTTGATTTGTCCATACAAATAACATTATTGTGTTCACTAGTGACACCGGTAAGTATGCTAGGTGTGGGTGGACTCTTTCATTATTGCGCTCATGTTCACTCATCCCGTTACACGCAGAATAAGCGTACTACTAGTAGTCAAAATTACAGGTCTATGGAGCCTGCATACACCGTGTCCCAAAAAGAATGAATCAATATACAGCCTAATATACGTGTTACTATGGGCGTAGACAAGTCAATTAAGGCTCATTTTATAAAAAATCATCTTTAAATATTTTTAGTGCCCTTCAATATAGTTATTAGCTGTTCCATAGTGGTTATTGGTAAGTTTGAATTTTCCTAACATGCAATTGCAATATGGAGATGTAGTTGAGAGCACAATGTATTGAATGGTTTATAAAAACAAAATATGTGGAGCGTTTTTTTGGTTTTTTTTTTGTCTGGGGGTTTGTTAAAGATTACGTGTGTCTTTGATTTGTTTATAAGGATAAGAGAAATCAAATTTTCTTTACAATCCCCTCCACATATACAATATGTCAGTAAATGTTGCCAAGATGGATTACAACTTAATTTTACTTACACTGGAGGCTTTTTCGGCTCATTTTTCCAGAGTTCCTCGCCATCTTGTACAGGTCCTTCTGCTGCAGCAGCCTTCAACACAAAACATGTACATTAGTAAATAAAATCTCTTGGACATCTTTTTCAGATAAAAAAGTTTCTTTGTCAACGTTTTGTCGACTGTCTTCTTCTTCTCTACAACAACAACCTTTGTTCCTAATGTGGAATGGCATACCCAGAACATTATTGAGTTTTAAGTATGGATGGACCTAATGGTGTGCAATGCATCGAAATTTTGATTTGATTCAACATTCATCGAAATCCCGATGCATCGGAAAACCCAGACATAGATTACGTCCTGGTGAATATATAAAACTAATTTAGGCCTCTAAAATGAGTATTAGATTGGGATATGTTAATTATCGATGCCACTGATACTTCGATATTGGGATCGGTATCAAGAATCGAATGCCAAAAGTTTATTCCGATACCGACAGGGAAAGATATTTTACTTTAACATTTATTTATATTATAGCTATAAGTTTTGTAATCACAGCTAACAACTTTAGTAGCTAACTTAGAACTAGCTCAAAACAGGTACGGTGCCTTAGTTTAGCTTCAGCTGGTCTCTATGCAGAATATGATATCGCACAACACAATCTAAATTTCAAGATGTCAGACAGACAGTCACACTCAGACAACTGGCGCGCGAATGTCCTGCCAAGAAGAAATTATGCTAAACAATTTCTGTATCAATAAGTTAGACCTTAAGATGTATTTTTTTTTTTTTAATACAAAATAACTAATCTAAACACGTTGCAATGTTCAGTTTCATCCCTGCATTACACATCATTATTAAAATTAGATTTAATTTCAACATCGTCTTAGGGTTAGGCTTGTCTTATATTGCCCCATAAAGGAGATCCATATTTTATCTGTACTATCTACCTAGTTAAAGAGTTAAGTGAAGTTTTAAGTGCTACTATAAACATAGTGTATGGATTAAAAAATATCATACGCACAGTCCATGTTGATTTTTTAATATCTTATCTTATCTTACTAATATTATTAATGTGAAAGTTTTTGTTGTTTGTTTGTTTGTTTGTGTGTATGAAGTTCAATCACGCATAAACCACTGGACGGATTGGGCTGAAATTTGGCATGATGATAGCTCACATTCCCGATTAACATATAGGCATATTCTTATATCAAAAATCCTTTCGGGCTCCGCCCCAGTGGCTCTGGAGTTCCCCATGTTAACCTTATGAGTATTCATATTTAGAGGGAATTAAAGAATTTAGTCAGCTGTTTCAACTAAAAAAGTTGGTTCTATGATATGGAAAAGCATTACAAAGTTATAAGATTTACCAACAGGGTGCAGCACTATATTTTTTTTTTTGCATTTATTTATGAAAACAGCTAATTTGGACCAAGCAGCAACAAAAAACTGTGATTCGCAATGAGAACTGTCAAAGTAGGATTGTTTACAGTTAGCCTATGTTTATGTTTTTCCTTTCATGAATAATTTTTGATATTTTGCGAATTGTTGATAATTTATTTTTCTCTATTGTTTAGGTGAAGTGGTAGAACATTATGGCTATGGTAGATGTGTAATACTATAGAATATTGTAAATTTAAAAAAGCAAATGTTATCAAACTGTGTCCTCCCTTATTGCAAACGCAAAGCTTGAGTATAACTGCAATAAGCATTTTATACTTATATTCCAACCCCGTACGAAGGACGGGTACTCTGCTAGTCTATATATAAAGACAAAAGTACCCATGAACTTTTGAAAAAACTACAAATCACACCCCGATAAACCATATACTTAAAATGTTCGTCATGACGAGAAACCTTGCGTAAAACTATCCATTATGTCATAAATTGCCCTTTAAGGTTGTAATTCCTTTCTAAAGAGAACTTTTCATATACCTAATGTTAAAAATACCTCAGCTGTACTTATTTGTTTGTTATTCTTTCAATGTATTACCTTATTAAAATCAGGTGTGATTATTTGTTTCTTTTACTGTATTTTGTTTATTTCAGGTTAACTTAACCGATTAATAGTTTTATTAATACCTTGAAGTCAAACGGGGTAAAGCCCGTGGGTTACAGCTAGTTTAAATAAATCATATATATTAAAACGTGACAGGGTTTTTTTTACGATTCTGAATTAACCACTTGACGGATTTTTATGATTTTTGTGTAGAAAGAAAGATAATTTTGAGAACTAGGGAATGTCGAAGCCATACTTTTAGTTTAAGGTTTCAGTTTCTTATAAATTAAGTTTTAAATTTTAAAAAGTCTAGCAGCCGACGCTAACATTCTAATTTAGCTTTTGGTATAATACCATTTGCTTAACTTAACAGCTGTAAACATTCAGTTTTTTTGACACAAATTCAGCATTTGGATGAAAATGAAATGACATACGTTGGGTTGACTTATTTATACTATGTGTAATACTATAATCATTGATACGTTCATTTATTCGGTAAAGAGGCTGAGAGATTATTTAAATATACATTGTAAAACCTCCCGCAAAACTATCCATCATTTCATAAATTGTCCTTTAAGGTCGTAATTCCTTTCTAAAGAGAACTTTTCAATTTTCATATACCTAATGTTAAGAGTGGGTCCCAGTAAAACAAAATCCCGAAATGGCCGAAATTGGCACACTAGCGCGCGTGGAGTGGAGCGGACATTTGTTGAACTACGTGCGTGGCAGTCTCCTCGACGTCACAGGCATGTATCGATCGATAAGTGACTCACGGCGCGGGCGCGGTGTTGCCGAACCCTCGCCAGGCGCTAAGCAATGTAAGGCAACGCCGCATTAGCACTGGCGATGAACGAACTGTGTCAGTGGACTCGACTCGACGGCGATTCAACCCTGCTCCTGCTCGGAGTGACAGAGTGCACTTAAGTCACTTCCATCGCTTATTTACTTAGAACACTCGTTTTTGCTCACTGCTCTTCGTTGTTAGTGGGTTTATCTAGGGTGGTTATTTAGCCTGTTACAATTTTATATAATAGAGAATGCTATGGGAAAATAATCAGCTTTGAAACAAAAGTTTTGAAGTGGAACAAGGATCATACAACATTTTCTAAAGCAATAATTGAAATTTCTTATTAAAACCCTATAGTTTATCATGTTTTCGGATAGAACATGCAATTTAAAAACTTTTTTATTCGTGATATTTATTCCATAAACCCACTAGTTTAGGAGATACAGCCTGTGAAAAAATGACTTCCGGTCTACTTTTTGTATCATGCAGCTCCTAAACGAGAAAGTTTAGCGCAAAAATGCGAAGAGTAAAAAAGTGTTGTACGAAAGAAAAATAGTGGAACAATGCTCATGAAAAATAAGCAAAAACAGGGTGAATAATATTTAATTAAATTGATCTGTTATATGTACATGGTGTAACATTATCAATCCTGAGATTACTCAAAAATGAAACAAGTTAAGTAATTACATTAATGAATGGTGAATCGGATCCAACACATGTTAGAAACATTAGTTGAAGATCAAGTTTTCTAAATAACTTACCAACATAAATACTGTTCAACTTTACAATCATGGTGGATGGCATATGCCTAACCAAAACCAACACTTGACAAACATACAATTTGTGAAACACTTACACTAGGCTTGTAGAACATCACAAAATGAAGTTATTTGCAATCTGTTTAATGCATAAGTTACAGATTTTTGTGATAAGTTACCGATGACGTTAATTGTGATAGTTGTGATACTAGATACAGTGATGGAACACTGCTTAACATATAATAACAATGCAAATATTTATTTTTTAGTTATTTGAGCAATTTTTTTTGTAGTTGAACAATTTAAGGGGGGAAGATGAATTAATCTCAATAATTATAATAACATTAGCAATGTTAATTAATTCATCTACATTCAAATACCGGTATCCTCCTCAACTCCCAGAAAATCAATTCAACAACTTGAGGCCTAAACATAATCATAGTATCAAAAGTATTTATTGCAACCATTGCAACTGTCCGCTCCTCTTTAACCGATTGAAAACAAATTATCAACAACCACAGATAGTTCAGTGCTAAGGTAAGGAATTCACAGCCTGGAGGTCCTGGGTTCAAGACCCGCTTACTTACTTACTCCTGTGGCCATTGGAAACCTAGGTGGTTTTTGGCCTCGCCAACCATGTGCCTCCAAGCTCTTCTATCCTCTGCCAGCTCCAAGTCTGCTCCCATTCCTCTCAAGTCCTATACCTCTAGGTATACCTCTGAGTACCATCTTTACCATCTCTCTCTCACTTCTACGGTTAATATGGCCCATCCATCTCAACCTCCTACTCTTAACTATTCCCACAATATCTGGTTCACCATATAATTCTTTTAACTCTATATTTTTCCTTATCCTCCATGCATTTCCTTCTTTTACTGGTCCAAAAATTCTTCTCAAAATTTTGTTTTCAAAAGTAATAAGGCGTTTCTGGGATTTTTTGGTAAAAGACCAAGTTTCTGACCCGTATAGCAATACAGGTTGCACTATAGTTTTATACATTCTTATTTTAGTGGTTTTTGATAGCAGTTTGCCTTTGAATAATTTTATTAAACTCCAGTATGATCTTTCTGCTGCTGAGTCTGCTCTGAATTTCTATTTCTTCTCTATTATTGTTTGTGATCATCACTCCCAAATACTTATACTAGTTTTCTGGAACCTATAGTTTAATACTTCTAAGTGGTCTTCCTCGTCATCTTGCCTACTTATTTTCATGTAGTTGGTTTTGTTTTCATTTATTTGTAAACCCACTTTTCTTGCTTCTTTAATTAGTACTTCTGTTAGCACTGGTCTTGGTCTTATCAGCCCCCGGTTGGTTCCAGGCGGTCTCAGCTATAACGAAGTTGTTAAGTCAAAACCATCGAGTGTTGTGAAAAAGCAGAGCAAATGTGTGGTGTCAAGTGTTGAGGGTGATCCATCAGTGTTAGAGTTAGATTCCTGTTTAGATGATAGTTCTCCTTTAATTTTAAACTGATTCATTCTGACAATGACCTTGTACCTGCTAAATTAAGTAACTTAGATAATTCTTTGCACAAAACAAATTCACTGGCTCAA